CGGCGGCGCCCAGCACACTGGGCACACGACCCCCCGGGCGTTCGCTCTTCAGCCTCAAGGAACCCCGCGCTGCGCAGACCGCGCGGCAGGTGCGCTCGGCCCTTCGGCATGACCTGTGCCCACGGTCTCCTCCCGCAGAACCCGCAACCCAGGCCCGCGCCCCTGTCGTGGAGGGCTCTCTTTGCTTCCTCCGGGGACCCGTTTTCTTGTAGGTCCGTAGGTCAAGGACACGACCTTGAGAGCTGGGCACGTTGGGGCCCCGGGGCAGCCGGGCTTGGAGGAGGTTCAGGGGCTCTCCGGCGTGTGCAGTGGTTGGAGAGGGGGAACACGGTAATTCGGTCGGGACCCCGGTAAATCCCTCTTGTGGGCCTCAGCCTCTCCATCGGACCCCTGCCCCGTCCTCCCCTGGGATATCAAGCCCGGAAGTCCCGCCCACCCCGACCTCTGGTCCTGAGACTGGCACCGCTACCGGAGGCTCTAGTGTGAAGAAGGCGCAGGAGCCGCGAACGACCCTGGGGCCTGCGCCCCGTCCTCCCCGCTTCCTCCGGCCCTTGCTGCAGCCCGTGTCCCCAGACTCCGGCCTTGAGCGTCCTCTGGTGTTGCCTTTCACACCGTGCAGCATTTTCCAGGCCTCCCCTTAGGGCGTTTTGTAAAAAGAAAAGAAAAACTATAATATGAAAGTATAAAATGTATAGAGTTTTCAAGAAATCATGTTCTACTTCCATAAAAGGGTCACTTTAACTTTGTAAATACTTATCTTAAATGATATTTACAAAACTGTGATATATATTATTTGATTGTATATGGACCACTGTAAATACATTTGTACCTTTCTTGTATTCTAAAATAAAACGACTTGGAGCATTTGGCATCTGCACGAGTGGAGTCGTGTGCGTGGAAAGTAACAGGGAAACCTGGAAGGAAGGTGACGGAATTCCGGGCAGGATCCCCCAAGCGCCTTCCCGGCTCCCCTCTCCCCGCCTTGTGGCCAGAGGAGGTGCACAGGCAGGGTCAGGTGAGTCGCGGGAGAGCGGGGCTCACACAGTGTCAGCCATGAAGGCCGTCTTCCCGCCTCTCCAGACAGGCAAGCTGCTGGGCAACTCGTGGAGTCTGTCCCTGTGCAGGCTCCTCCAGCCGTGTGTACACACACACTCCTACGTGCAGCCTGCAGGTACAAACACCTTGCACACACAGACTTCAGGTGTCCATGCCTAAGGACCCCCGTGTCTTGGGGCGCTTGTCTCACCCTGGCGGACAGGATCAGGGGACTGGACGGAGATGCACGCACTCCCTAGGAGCAGTGAAGCATCATTCCCTCACTAAGCTTGCAGTTGAAGCAGATCACACTGGAAGGAGTTCTGCATGGGTGTCCCATGTTGGCGGCAGGGACCCAAGTGGGCCTCCCCCTGCTGCCTCCTTGGGGCCCCTTAGCAGCAAGCTGGAATTGAGCGTGCAGCCAGGACGGAACCCAGGCACTTCCGATACGGAGTACACACGTCCCAAACCAGGCCTTCAGCACTCTGCCACAGATGTTCCCCCAACATGGCGTCTTGGATGTCTGGCCAAAAGTTCTGCAATGCCTCCAGTGTCACCCACAGCATGGTCCCTCCCTGCCTGCCCCCACAGCCCCTACCCTGGCCTCTGTTTTCCTTGGCCAGAGCTGCTGTGTCCTGAGACCCTTCCCGCATCCGTGCCAGGGACCGACATCCTCCAGAGTCACAAGTCAGACCTCCCAGAGAAGCCACTGGGACCCTGAAGCCAATGCGGATGCACTCCCTTCTGCCAAGTCCCGGCTAACAGCCCTAGCAGCCCAGAGGCCACAAACTAGGGTCAAGAACCCACCTTGTGGCAGTGTACTGTAATTGCAGCTCCAATTTTCATTATTTTTAAGATTGATTTATTTTTATTGGAAAGTCAGATATACAGAGAGGAGGAGAGACAGAAAGGAAGATCTTCCGTCCCTTGATTCACTTCCCAAGCAGCCACAATGGCTGGAGCTGAGCCAATCTGAAGCCAGGAGCCTCTTTATTTTTCCCACACAGGTACAGGGTCTCAAGGCTTTGGATCATCCACAACTGCTTTTCCCAGGCCACAGGCAGGGAGATGGAAGGGAAACGGGGCTGCCAGGATTAGACCCGGTGCCCATGTGGGATTCTGGTACATGCAAGGTGAGGACTTCAGCTGCTAGGCTACGGCACTGGGCCCTTTTTGTGCCAGTGCCAGGGCCTATGCCAAGCGCTGGGACAGAGAGGACTAGATGTGATTTGTGGCTTCAAGACATGGCACACTGGAGAAAGTGAGCTGCCATGGGAAAGCCTAGCCACTCTCTTTGTTGTGGCTCCGGCCCTCAGCCTCGGGCAGCGGCTCCTGCCCAGTCAGGGGCTCTGGGACTTAGATACTCCGCAGCCCTGGAGTCTGCCTCCACCTGAGTAAAGACCCCTGGTTGTCTTTAAACCGTGTCCACTTCACCTAGGTGAGAATGGAGACAACCAGGGGTCACTCTGCCAGCTGTCCCTGCAGCCCCGCTGGGCCAGCCTGCAGATTTGGCCCGGAGGACCCTTTGCATGCCCGGCCCGTGTCCTCACCTTGCCTCGGTCATGTCCTTCAACCTACAGGGATTCACCACTGCTTCAATGTGGGCTGCCGTTGCAGGCAGCAGCTTGACCCACAGCGCCACACCAACCCCTGGACACATTGTTAGAAATATTTACTTGTTGTTTATTGGCAGACAGCTGCAGATAGAAAGCCCCCACCTAGGCTCACTCCCCGAGAGCTCTCAGAAGTCTGGGCCAAAACTTGGGAGTCGGGACCCCAATCCAGGTCCCTTGTGAGGGTGACAGAAGCCCGCTCATTGGAGTTGCCACTGCTGTGTGCCAGGCTGTGGCCAGCAGGAAGCTGCACTCCAGAGCAGAGCTGGGACCGGAACCAGAACTCCTATGAGGGATGCCGGTGTGGCAAGTGGTGCTGTACCTGGCTGGAGCACAAGGCTGGCCCCTGACCCAACCCAAATCCTCTCTTTCCTGGAGGTAGAAGGGACAAATAGGAATCGGGCCAGAGCTCGGCAGTGATGACAGCCACCTGGAGAAGAGAGGACACTGACAGGCCTGGAGCTGTGGCTGTGGGGATGTCCAGGCTGACCGGCCAGTGAGATCTCGGAGGCCCTGACCCTCCCTCCGCAGAGCTGCGGCCCTAGACCAGGACCCGTGCAGCAGGTTGTTTCCTGAGTAATGAGGCTGGTCCGAAGCCGAGAATGGAATTGGGGTCCGGGGAGCAGGCTGGGATGCTAGTCACAGCTGCAGGTTTGTCTTGGGGGACTTTGGGACCCCAGAAGACAGTCGGGAAGCCAGCACAGAGTGTGTGCGAAGCCCGCAGAGAAGACCTGGGGGTGAAGCAGGTGGCTTGGGAGATGCCGTGCCACCAGGTGCTGTATGACTTTGGGGCCACAGGCCGCCCCGGACTGAGTGCGGGAGCCCTTTTTGTCCCTTTCTGGTGAGAGACACCAGATCCCTACTGCACTGCGTGGGTCCAGGGACCCTCAAGCCGCCTGGGCTAAGCAGGCGAAAGGACACCATCGCCCTCTTGTGGACTCAGCCGGACTCAACTTCCTTGGCTCTGGGTGGAGGACCTCTGGAACAGCCGGCCTGGCCGCCCCATCCAGGAGGCAGTGTGCGTGGTCCTTGTGAGAGGCCCCGTGCAAGGAGGACCATGCTCAGAGCCCCGAGATTGGATGGGCCCAGGCAGGAGGAAGAGGCAGTGGGGGGCTGTGGGAGACGGAGGGAGGAAGTGGTTCCTGTTGCCGGGAGTACCAGACGCTCATCTCTCCACTGCCCACCGGCTGGATGCTGACACCGCAGAGGGGCCCGGCGCGAGCCCAGAGCCGGGTGTGCACCTGCGCTGTCTCGCGAGGTGTGGCCTGCGCTCCTTGCTTCTTCTTCGTTTTCTTTGCTTCCTTTTTCTTTCTTTCCTAACTTCTCTCTTCAAGAGCAATGGGCTCTCTCAGGCAGCACCCTGAATGCTGTTTGAGGGCACGTGTGATGCAGCATCTCTGGACTGGGCTCCTAGGAGCGTGAGACTGGGGTGGAGAGGCTGCCTGGGGCTGGCGTTGCAGCCTGGTGTTCAAGCCCTGGCATCTCAGGAGTGCCAATTTGAGTCCCAGCTGCTTCCTTTCTGGTCCAGCTCTCTGATAATGTGCCTAGAAAATCAGCAAAGGATGGTACACATATTTGGGCCTCTGTGTCCACATGGGAGGCCCAGGAATGGCTTTGCTCACTTAAAACTATATAAAATATATTTATATATTTATTTGAAAGGCAGAGAGAGCTATCTTCCATATGCTGGTTCACTCCTCAAATTGCCACAGTGGCCACAGCTGCACCAGGCTAAAGTCAGGAGCCAGGAGCTTCATCCAGGTCTCCCACGTGCTGGGTGCAGGGGAGGGGGTAGCAAGCGCCTGGTCCATCCTCTGCTGCGTTCCCAGACCATTAGCAGGGGGATGGAATGCAAATGGAGCAGCAAGGACTTTAACAGGAGCCCATATGGCGTGCTGGTGCTTCAGGCAGCAGCTTAACCCAATAAATCTTTCCTTTTTTAAAAAAAAAATATTTATTTTTATTGGAAAGTATGGCTCTTCTGTGTAGTGCCATCTGTAGATTCTACCTTCCAATCCTCCTGGGCTCTCTCGTACAAAAATCGGCTTTTAGCGGCTTAGAGCCGGCTGGAAACTCGGAGGTCCATTCCCCAGTAACGTCTAACTGGCCAACCACAAGTAGGAGGACTAGTATTGGGCACGTGGCATAGCATCATTCCACAGGTGCTCCTTTGCCAGGAGTAAACATGGCAACCATACTCACGCCTTCCCTTCATGTAATCGAACAGTTGCCAACAGTGAACACGGAGGCCACAGCGTGCGCTCCCATTGGCGGATGCCTTGAGGCTCCGCCCCAGACCGCCCTCGCGGGGTTACAAGGCCGAGTGCGCCTGCGCAGGTTATTGGCGCCAAGATGGCGGTGGAGATGAGGCTCCCGGTGGCTCGGAAGCCCCTTAGCGAGAGCCTGGGGCGTGACACCAAGAAGCACCTGGTGGTGCCGGGGGACACGATCACCACGGACACGGGCTTCATGCGGTACGAGGGGGCTCGGGGCCGCGGGGCGCGGCTGCAGGGCCCTGCACGTGGTCAGCTGGCCGGGGTTCGCTGGCGGCTCTCTGCGCGCTGCCGGAGCCTGCCTCCGCCGCTCGCGCCTCCTCTCCGCCCGGGACTCTGGGGGTGAGGGTCTGCACCCCGATCTTGGAGTCACCGGGGCGCAGCCGTGGCTTGCTGTGCGCTTGGGGCGTACCAGGGGAACATCTGGGCCCAGGTGGGCAGGACTTGTTCGCAGGTAAACAGGTTCAGCAGGTGAGGCCACAGCCTGAGACGCCAGCATCTCCCACACCAACACACACGTGGGTTTCAGTTCTGCCAGTGCGCCTGGCAAAGCGGCAGAGGAGGGCCTAAGGGCTTGCGGCCCTCCCACCGGGTGGGAGACCAGGGTGATGCCCGGGGCGCCTGGCCTGGCCTGAGCCAGCGTCAGCTGTTAGAGCCATTTGCAGATGGAAGATCTTCCTCCCCAACTTTTGTCGCTGTTATTCTACCTTTGAAATAAATAAACCTAGGACTGGTGCTGTGGCATGGTGAGTAAAGCCCTCACCTGTCATGTCAGCATCCCATACGGGTGCCAGTTCCAGTCCTGGCTGCTCCACTTCCCATCCAGCTCCCTGCTAACGGTCTGAGAAAGCAGTCGAGGATGGCCCAAAGCCTTGGGACCCCCAAAGCCTTGGGACCCTGCACCCATGTAGGAGACTTGGAGGAGGATCCTGGCTCCTGGCTTCAGATCGGTGCAGCTTCAGCCATTGTGGCCACTTGGGGAGTGAATCAACGGACAGAAGATCTTTCTCTCTCTCCTTGTATCTGTATATCTGACTTTCCAATTAAAAAAAAAAAAAACAAGTAAATGGAGTAGCTGAGTCACAGCAGGGACTCCAGGGTGGGGTGACCTGCCCAATATGTCCCTACCTTCCCTGGTGTAGTCCAGGTGGGCCTGCTGGAAGCGGCTATTGCAACTTGGATCAGAGGCAGGAAGCGTCAGGGCCTCCCTGGCGGGGTGGAGGGCCTCCTTGTTCCCTTGCTGCGAGGTCACTGGGGTTCCACCCTGGCTCTCTGTCTTCCCCCTTTTCAGGGGCCACGGGACGTACATGGGCGAGGAGAAGCTTGTGGCCTCCGTGGCTGGTGCGGTGGAGCGTGTGAACAAGCTCATCTGTGTGAAGGCTTTGAAAACCAGGTGAGCGTGACACGGGCTTCTCTGCCCTCACAAGCCCAGTGCACCTGCCCCAGGCCTGCGGGGTTGAGCCTGACCCTGGGGAGGCAGTGCGTGGCAGAGGCTTCCCCCAGCCCCGCCCGGGCACCCTGCTCCTCTCGGAGTTAGTGCAACCGTTGGTTGCAGTCCATCAGGGTGCACCTGGAAAGTGCTTAGGTCAGGGGCGCCCCAGGGAGGAGGCCAGTGCAGTGGGACTCTGAGCCAGGAGAGCCGAGGTGGGTGTCCAGCCTTAGGGTTGGTGATACCCCCCGCTGTTGTGGGCAGGGGCAGGCACCGGATGCATCGGCTGCAGGTGGCTGCCGGCGAAGTGGGGGCTCTGAGGGAGAGGGCGCAGGCTGCTGTGCTTGGGTCTCTGTGGGGACTGGGTCATTTGTTAACCCAGGGAGCTCTGCTGCACACACGTTTTGGGGCGAGCTGGCAGAGCATGTCTGGCATCAGGGTTCAGCTGAGGGGTGGGATGGCATTGCCAAGCTGGGAACCACTGAGAGAGGGGGTAGCTGTTGCTTTGGGCTGTGACAGCTGCAGGTGGCTGGCAGCTCCAGCCTCTGGGACCTGGCGTGGGGAGGTGGGCCTGGGGCTTCGTCGTAGTCGCAGCCAGTGGGTAGCACAGGCTGAGCCGGTCTTGTGTGGAGTGGCCGTGTGTCCTTGGTCACCCTTGCTCTTGGGAAAGCTGGCCTGGGCTCTTCAGGGCCACAGACGCTAGCAGACACTATGTTTCCTTCAGATACAACGGTGAAGTGGGCGACATCGTAGTGGGGCGCATCACAGAGGTAATGCTAACGAAGTCACGGCCAGCTGGAGCCGTGCTTATTTTGTTTGAAAGTCAGAATTTCAAAGAGAGAAGGACAGGGATCTTCCCTCTGCTGCTCACTCCCCAGGTGGCCACAGCAGCCAGAGCTGAGCCGATGTGAAGCCACGAGCTTCTTCCGTGTCTCCCCCGTGGGCACAGGGTCCCAGGCTTTGAGCCTGCCTCTGCTGCTTTCCAAGACCATTAGCAAAGAGCTGGATCGGAAGTGGCGCAGCTGGCCCACAAACTAGTGCTCATAAAGGATGCCCGCGCTGCAGGTGGAAGATCAGCCTGCCCTGCCTCTGTGCCAGCCCCCAAGCTGGTGCCTTATTTAATGAGTGGCACGGTCGTTCCCTTGTTGACTGATGTGAATGTCTGGGCTGGGCGGCCGCTCTCTCGGTGAGCTCTTGTCCCGGGGGGTGGGGTGTGGGGTGGGGGTGTGTCCAGGTGTGCATGTCTGTGTCTGCAGGTCCAGCAGAAAAGATGGAAGGTGGAGACCAACTCCAGGCTGGACTCGGTCTTGCTGCTGTCATCCATGAACCTCCCTGGAGGAGAGCTGGTAGGGGCGCGGGGCTGCAGGGGTCTGCTGGGCACGCAGGCCATCCCTGCCCCTCCGTGAAGTTGGCTGTGCAGATGGATGCAGGCCTCCCGCCAGCACAGGCCAAGGTGGCAGGCACCAGTTAGTCTCCCGGGAATGGGATGGCATCTGCAAGTGGGGCCGCTTCCTCCCAGGGGGTCCGCCCTGTGGATGCCAGGGTCCTGTGCTGGATGCCAGGATAAGGCGGGCACAGCTGAGTGCCCAAAGAGCTTCCAGCTCAGCTATGGCCCAAGATAACCAACCAAAGATACCTGGTGGTCGAGTGAGCACGGAGGGACCTGAGTGGCTGGTGGGAAGGGCTGGTGCTGGGCCTGATCCTTGCTGGGAGGGGAGAATGAGTGGGTGGAGATCCAGCTGGAGCAGGGGAGGAGGTGGCCAGGTGTGGCTACCTCTTCTCACTGGCTCCCCAGATCCACCCCCCCGGGCAGTGTGGGGGGGGGGTCCCTGACTGGGGGCTGGCAGGGGACACGGCTGCAATGGGGGGAGGGCCTGGGGACATGGCTGCAGTGGGGGGATGGGCTGGCAGGGGACATGACTGTAGTGGAGGGGGCTGGGGACACAGCTGCAGTGGGGGGGCTGGCAGGGGCAAGGCTGCAGTGGGGGGGCTGGCAGGGGACACGGCTGCAGTGGGGGGATGGGCTGGCAGGGGGCACGGCTGCAGTGGGGGGGCTGGCAGGGGGCACGGCTGCAGTGGGGGGGCTGGCAGGGGACACGGCTGCAGTGGGGGGGCTGGCAGGGGGCATGGCTGCAGTGGGGGGATGGGCTGGCAGGGGGCACGGCTGCAGTGGGGGGATGGGCTGGCAGGGGGCACGGCTGCAGTGGGGGGATGGGCTGGCAGGGGGCAAGGCTGCAGTGGGGGGATGGGCTGGCAGGGGGCACGGCTGCAGTGGGGGGATGGGCTGGCAGGGGGCACGGCTGCAGTGGGGGGATGGGCTGGCAGGGGGCACGGCTGCAGTGTGGCACTTGCTCCCTGTGTGTTGCAGAGGAGGCGGTCTGCAGAGGACGAGCTGGCCATGAGAGGCTTCCTGCAGGAGGGGGATCTCATCAGTGTATCCTGCACCCTGCATGCTCTCCCGGGGGTTGGGGCCCTGTGGCCTGCAGGAGGAGGGTGGGCAGGTGGCACGCCTGGGGACAGCGGGGACTGCGAGCCTGCTGTTTGCTCCTTTACCGCCCTGGCCAGGCCGAGGTCCAGGCAGTGTTCTCCGATGGAGCCGTGTCTCTGCACACGAGGAGCCTGAAATACGGAAAAGTAAGTGGGGTGCCCTCTGTGGATAGACCAGCCCCAGCCCGTGGCTGACTAGCCCTCTGCACCTCTGACCCATGCCCCCACGGGCACGCGCTGAGAAGCGCTCCCTGGTGTAGTGGAAGGGAGATCCCAGTTCAGGGACTGAGACTTGGGGCCGTGCTCTCTGCTGCCTCCAGGCGGCGCTGCAGCCCAAACACCCGCTGACAACGTGGCTGTGGTGGGCAGCCTAGGTTGGTTTGTTGTTCAGCCTGGAGTGTGCTTCTGGGCTTTCCTCATGTGAGGTGACACTATTGGCTGTGGGTTTTTTTCTTTCTCTTTTTTTTTTCCTTCTGTGACAGCCTTTGTCCTCATGCAAAGCAGAGTGAGTGGGTGACGCTTGGTGTCTTCTGAGTGGAACAGAAACCTCTTACCTCAGTGGGTGCAGTCACATGCACGCCCCGGGTGACGTGCAACCCTCTAGAGGCCCTCGCAGACCGCCCCGGCAGGCCTGGCCAGGACCTGGGACGGGTGTGGGTGTCGGGGTGGTGTGGATGGCACACTGCATTCGGGGGCCAGCTCGCCCACGCCTGATGGGCCCCGCTCTCGCGGTTCTTTCCCAGCTGGGCCAGGGCGTGCTGGTGCAGGTCTCGCCGTCCCTGGTGAAGCGGCAGAAGACCCACTTCCACGACCTGCCCTGCGGCGCCTCGGTGATCCTGGGCAACAACGGCTTCATCTGGATCTACCCGACCCCCGAGTACAAGGAGGAGGACGCAGGGGGCTTCATCGCCAACCTGGAGGCAAGTCAGCCTGCCTGGCTCCGCCTGGGCTGTGGCCTGTGCTGGGCGTCCCCTGTGAGGCCCTGGACCCCGTGGCTCACTCCCCCGTCCCCGCCCCTGCAGCCCGTCTCCCTGGCCGACCGAGAGGTCATCTCCCGGCTCCGGAACTGCGTCGTGGCACTGGTCAGCCAGAGGATGATGCTGTATGACACAAGCATCCTGTACTGCTACGAGGCGTCCCTGCCGCACCAGGTGGGCCGGGCCAGCGTGGCCAGCACGGGGGACAGCCTCGGGGGTCTGGCTCCTCCCCAGAGGGTCAGGCTGCCAAGGGGGATGGAGGGACCAGGCAGGTCTAGTTGGTGACACCGGGGCCAGACTATCCTCCCATCCGAAAATTCAGGTTTTTTTTTTTTAAGATTTATTTATTTTTACATAAAAGAAACATTTAGAGAGAAAGAGACTCTCATCCATTGGTTCAATCCCCAAATGGCTGCAATGTCCAGAGCTGGAAGGAGCCAGGAACCTCTTCCAGGTCTCCCACACGGGTGCAGGGTCCCAAGGCCTTGGGCCGTCCTCAAATTCTTTCCCAGGCCACAAGCAGGGAGCTGGGTAGGGAGTGGACCAGCTGGGACTAGAACTGGTGCCCATGTGGGATGCCAGTGCTGCAGGTGGAGGCTTAGCCTACTACACCATGCTACACCATGGTGTCCACCCAGAGTTTTTTTGTTTTATTTTTTGTTCTTATTGGAAAGTCAGAAATACAGAAAGGAGAGACAGACAGGAAGATCTTTCCACTGATTCACTCCCCCTAGTGGCTGCAAGGGCTGGAACTTTGCTGATCTGAAGCCTGCTCTGTGTCTCCCACGTGGGTGCAGGGTCCCAAGGCTTTGGGCCATTCTCTTGCTTTCCCTGCAAGCAGGGAGCTGGATGGGAAGTGGGGCAGCCAGGAAATGAACTGTGCCCATAGGAGATCCCGGTGCACGCAAGGCGAGGACCATAGCCACTAGGCTACTGTGCTGGGCCTTTTTTTCTCTCTCACTTTTTTTTTGGTGACAGCGCATTCTTGTCACTCCACTGCAGTGGATTCTGCTGAGCACTTAGGCCAGTGGGGGAAGATCCCAGTCCGGTGGAGGAGCATGGCGCAAGGCTTCTGGGAGCTGTGCAGGTTTCCCCGCGTGGACGAGCCCACTCAGGGCCTGCAAGTGGTGGGTTTCTTTCTGGAACAAAGATGTTTCTTTTCTTTCATAGATCAAAGATATCTTAAAACCGGAAATAACGGGGGAGATCGTGATGGAGACACGCCAGAGGCTTCTAGAACAGGAGGGCTGAGCGGCTCCAGGGGGCGGCACCATGCTTGCTGGAGAGATGTCACCCAGGACAATGCCGAGGGACACGTGTGCCCCGGTCGGGTGCCAGGACTGGCTGTCCTTGGGCTGTCCCCAGGTTCTCAGAGTGTGCGGGGTCCCGGCGACACCGCCTCTGCCCACACCCCGGAAGCATGGGGAGATGCCTTTGTCTCCCCCTCGCTTTTATGCACAAGGCCTCAGCACCGCAGGACGACAGTCACCCTTCACTCCTACTCCTGTCAGGCCTCTGGTGCCACTGCCCCGGAAGACATGCTCGGGAATGCTGGCCCCTCCGGCTCAGGCAACCTCGACTCCAGTTCCTTCTGGTGGGCCACAGCCCCAGGCCTGCCCACGTTTCCCTGCGCGGGAGTGCACTGGAAGCGGGATGGTGTGGCGAGGGTGTGTCACTGCCCGGGAGGTTCGGAGGTGACACGAACCTCTTGGTAAGTCAGTATGCAAAGATTAAAGGGATGCTCCACGCCTCAGGGACCAGTGCCGGAATTCTTGTTTAACATTTTTCTTTAAGTTTTTCTTTTTTCAGTATTGTTTACATGGTTAAGAGGGATGCATGCCCACTGGGCCTTTTAATTGGGGGGGGGGCGGGGCGGGTGTGGAGGAAGGTGGGACAACTGTCTCAGTTTTCCCTCCTGTGTCTGCAGGGGAGGATAGGAGGGGTGCTCCTTGCCGGGGACTGCATCGGCACCTGGGGGCGGGACGTCGTGCTGACACCGTAGACGCCCATGTGGGGAAGGACACTTCCCTTGAGTGATTTTGATGGTTCTGAGGTGTTGGCTTTGCTGCGCCAGGGAGGAGAAAATCCTTCTGAGGTCTGTTGGCTGACCAGGTCCTCCTTAGTGCATGCTGCACAGCTTGGCCAGGACAGTTGTTCAAACTGCTCTGCTTTCTATCCTCTGACGAGGCAGTCAGCGCCCCCTACTGGCCATCATGCCCCCCATGTGCTGCTGGACATGGTGTCCACTGCACAGGCATCAGCTCCTGAGGAGGCCCAGTCCTGATGCGTGCACTCCAATGTTGGACCACATGCCTTGTGATTTTCCCTGTGGTCAGGGTCTGAATCCAGCCTTCCAGTTGGGGATGCCCCCAGGAAACCTCACCCGGGTTTGACAAGGTGTGCCAGCCAGCGCAGGGTCAGGTTCAGTCTGTCGCCCGCACTCGCCAACGCACACACTGATGAACGTGGCTGCCTGGTCAGTTCCGCCCCCAGCCCTGTCTCTTCACGTGAACTGATGGGTGCTGCAGAGCCAGTGTTCTGATGATTATCGAAAAATTACTTTCTGGTAGAGGTTGTGGGGAAAATGGCTTTAGTTCTTTAAGTAAAAATTAATGTATTTGAGAGGAAGAGGGACAGAGATCTTTCATGTGGTTCACCCCTGGGTCTGGGCCCAGCCAGGAGCCAGGAGCTCCCTCAGGTCTCATGGGGACACAGGCCCAAGCACTAGGTCTGTCCCCGCTGCTGTGCGGCAGGGAGCTGGGTTAGAAGTGGAGCAGCTGGGACGTGAACTACTGTGGGGTGCCGCACTTGCCCTTTAATAAGCTGTTACATCACAATACAGCTGCCCCTAGAACCAGCTTTAAAGCTTTATATTTTGGTAGTTTTAACTTTTTAATTAAAAGAAGATTGAGAAAAAGCAGAGTTCCTAGCAACTGATTAACTAGCCAAGCACTTGGCAGTAGCCAGGACTGAGCCAGGCCACAGCTGGGAGCCAGAGGCTCCTGTTAGCTCTCCCACACAGGTGGGCCAGTGACTTCAACCATCGCCTCCTTGCACACACTGGGATTCCATATGGGTGCCAATCCCAGCGACCTCACTTCCCATCTAGCTCCCAAAGCCTTGGGACCCTGCACCTGCGTGGGAGACCCGGAAGAGGCTCCTGGCTCCTGGCTTCAGATTGGTGCAGCTCTCTGGCTGTTGTGGCCACCTGGGGAGTGAATCATCGGACAAAGATTTTCCTCTCCTGTGTATCTGACTTTCCAATAATAAAATAAATCTTAAAAAAGGCACTATAGACAAGTTGTAAATGGGAACTATTTTTAGATTTTTAGATTGACGTATGTGAAGGGCAGACAGAATCACATCCACTGGTTCACTGGCCATATGGCTGCAGCAGCCAGGCCAGGTGGAGCTCCCATCCCTCTGGATCTCCCTGCCATATGGGCAGCAGAAACCCCAGCACGTGACCCGCCATCCACTGCCTTCCCAGGGGCATTAGAGAGCCAGGTGGAAAGCAGAGGGCACTGGCTAGCCCACTGGCCCACCGTGCCTGCCCTGGCCAGCTGCTGCTCTTGGGTCACTGAGAGCTGCATGTGGGAGAGGGCTCAGCTAGACGCCACGACGGAGGCCTTGCCTCTCCGCTGCTCCACCTGGCAAGATGTGACCTGAGCATCTCAGCGGTAACTAAGCATTGCAGATGTCAGCTCTGAGGCTCACCATCACTTGGTTCTATTTCCGCGGTTCCTCCTTGCCTTCCTTGTCTGCTGGTTCACTTCCCAGATGCCTCAGCCAGAAGCCTGGGGCGCTGCGCGTCTCCCAACACTGACCACCATCCGCTGCCTTCCTGGGTGCGTTTGCAGGAATTTGGATCAGAAGCAGAGCAGCAGGGACTTGAACCAGTACTCATATTGGATGTTGGCGGTGCAGGCTGTAGCTAAACTCCGTGTGCCGATAGCACTGGCCCCTGAGTTCCGGTTGCCCGCCTCCCCTGCTTTCTGTAACTATTGGGAAAGCAGAGTTCTTCCATCTGGTAGTTTAGCTTCCAAATTCCCACAACAGCCAGGACCAGGATTGGCCAAAGCCAGCAGCCACCTCTGAGTCCAGGTTTCCTGTGTGGGTGAGGGGAGCTCAAGCTCTGTGAAGTGGCAGAAGGCTGGCTGAGGAGGAACGGCCTGTGGCGAGTGGCCTTCGAGCCGTAAGGCCCAACGCCCGGGACACACCTTACACACCACGGCATCTCGGGAAGGCACAACCGGAAACAGTCACCTCAGCTCCCACGGAGTCCGCACTGGACGTGACACATCCCTGTTCCTTCCACAGTGACCTCACACAGTGTTGTGCAGTCAGTCTGCTGCCCTGGAGGACGCTGGGGCAGCAGTCACGCACAGTGGTGTGCCCCTTGGACGGCTGGGCCCGGCTCCATTTTTTCTGTCTTGTGGCAGGGGCATCAGCTGCTTGGAGGGGTGTGCATACAAGAACATTCCATAGACCATGGTGCACCTGTAGCTGGGTCTGCTGCCGTGTGCCTCTGCAAGCGGGCATCGGGAATGTCAGGTCCTGAGCAGGGCTGCGTCCGTGAGCCCTACGTCCACGGTCACGCAGGAGCCTCCCTGTCCCTGCACCCTTTCCCCAGCCCAGCAGAAGGTGCCTGTGTTAAGGGTAAGTCCAGTGGGCGTTTTAAAAACATTTCTCTTTAGGACCCAGCGACTAAAATCCTTGCCTTGAATGCGCCAGGATCCCATCTGGGTACCAGTTCATGTCCTGGCAGCTCCACTTCCCGTCTAGCTCCCTGCTTGTGGCCTGGGAAAGCAGTTGAACACTGCCCAAAGCCTTGGGACCCTGTACCCGCGTGGGAGACCCGGAAGAGCTCCTGGCTTCGGATTGGCACAGCTCCAGCTGTTGCAGCCACTTCGGGAATATCTCTCCTCTGTATATGTGACTTACCAATAAAAAACAATAAATTTTAAAACAACAAAAAAGATTTATCTTTATTAGGCAGATTTTTAGAGACAATGAGAGAAAGATCCGTCCACTGGTTCAACTCCTCCGGGGGGATCGGGAGGCGCTGGCGTTTTCCTGCACGAACTCGGGGTTCCCTCGGGCCCCGGTGCCCAGTGGAGCAGAGTCCGCGGGTGGTGTGGTGGGTGCTGCCCGCGCGTCCGCGTGTCCTCGTGCCGGTCCTCGGGGCACAGCCCCAAGGAAGGAATCCGACTCCGCTTCCGGGGGGACCCGAGTCGCGCACCCCCGTGCCGGTGCTTGCGCAGGGAAGACGCGGGTCACCCCGACAGGTGGCCGGCGGAGAGAAGGTGCCCCTGTCCGAGGGCCGAGCCCAGACGCCGCAGTCCGGGGGAGCGGAAGGCAAGACGCGTCGGCGCCCGACAGCCGAGCGGCGCCGCGGGACTACAACTCCCGGCACACCCCGCAGACTGCGCCGACTGCAATTGGATGAGGCCTCCGGCCGTCTAGCACATCGCAGCCAATAGTATGGAGGAGAGAGGGTTGACCAGGATTCTCGGCGTCCAATCGCAGTGCCGAGGAGGCGGGCGCTTCCTTGGCCCTCACTTTGCCCTCGGAAAAGCCTCCTGTAAAAGGTCGTCTCGGGCTGGGCGGTGGTGGGCACTGACGCCAGGGCCGGAGGGGGTCGCGGAGTTCCCGAAGACCAGCACCTCCCGGGGCAGCCCGGTCCCCGCGAGGCGGGCTCGGGACGGCGCCGGGGGGCGGGGTCGGGGGCGGGGCCTGGCCTCGTTGTGGAGCGGCTCGTAATCCATCATGGCGGCCGCGGGAGTCGGTGTCGGTCCCTGAGCAGCGCTGAAGCCGGAGCCGGTTCCTGGGTTCCTGCGGTGGAGGAGCCCCGTGGCGGTCTACGCCGCTGTCGGAGGGCGCAGGCTGGGGTCCCTGGGCGGCGTTCGGGGGACGAGACTGCCTGCTGGCGGCGGCGGCGGTGGCCACGTCCGGGGCCGCGCGGGACGGGGTGTCTGGGGCAGAGACCCCCGGGCTCGGGGCCTCCTGCCTCCCGCTCTCGGGCCGCGCGAGTTCTTCGTGCCTTGCGGCCCTGCCCCGGCTCTGGGACCCCGAGCTGGTCTCTGGTTTGTGCCACGGACCTGGGACGCCCCGTTTCCTGAGGCATTGGAGGAGTCTCGCCCCTCCTCCCGCCTCGGAGGACTCGCACCGCGGCAGCCCCTCTCTTTAGCCCGGATCTTGTCCCCAAGTTTGGCCTTCGGAGACCCCCCTCTTCCTCCATTCAAATCTTCTGTCCGGCTGTCAGGTGTCCTGCCCTGTCCCCTCCTCAGGTTACTCCCGCCAGCCTCTCATGCCCTGACCTCTTTCAATGTCACCTACGGCCCCCTTGGTCTCAGCCCAGCCCGAAACTTTGATGCAAAGGAAAAGCCTGGATTGGTTTCACAGGCCTTTTAAAAAGCGGACTTAGAAAAGTTGCTGGCGATGCATTAACGTCTCCGCCGCATCGGGTGACCCGTGGGCCGGAAGATGCGGACATTTAGATAGTGACCCTCCGGTGACTCCCCCAGGAAAGGTGGAGGAGCCCCCCAAGACCGCGGCGCTTCCTCTGTGTGTGTGAGTGGCAGAGAGGACTGAAATGGCTTCAGGATTGCCCACCCTGCCAGCGTGCCCCCAAAAATAGACTTTTTTTTTTTTTTTCCTCTCCAAAAAGACGTGGTGGATTTCTTCCGGAAAACGGACTTGAAGTCGTGAAACGTTTGCTGGGTAGAGTTAGCGTCACCTTGCTTCGGGACCACAGCGGACACAGAAACGGAACTCCTGCGGCCAGGGGACCGCTGCCCTAGGGGAGGTGTCCGGCTGCGATGGACGCTGATGGGCGCTGCGCGCAGGTGCGGTGGCTGTGAAGTGTGCTGCTGCCTGTCACCGCCGCCCCTGCCGCTGCCAGGGCTGCTGGCTCACGGACGGTTCTGGAAGATCTCGTGCCCTCCTCTGGAAAGGGGTGCCTATCGTTGATTTATGGGGCAGCAGCCTGGTAAAGTTCTTGGGGACCAAAGGAGGCCAAGTTTGCCCGCCCTGCACTTCATCAAAGGGTCAGGGAAGAAGGACTCGGCCACGAGGCATGGGGGCCCACACTGCAACGTGTTTGTGGAACACGGTAAGTGCGTTTCCGCGTGTTCTTCCGGGTGTCGGTTCCCTGGCGGTGCTGCCGTGCCCGTCTGTTGACCCCAGTAGCCCCCGTGGAACTTGGTTCCACGAGAAAGTTTGTTGATGACTGCTGGAACTCTGGTGGGAGTCCGGTGTGTCCCGCCTGCACCCGCTGCTTCTGCCTGACCGCTGTCGGTGAACAAGCCACTTGGCTGTGGCCAGGCCTGTTTTCTGAGCTGCTTGGCGTCGGTTCCCCCATTTTCACCAGGTCTAGAGGGAGCACGTGTTAGTCTCTGTTCAGAACACAGATGTCCCTGACCTCAACCCTGGCTGGGACATGCTCACCTTGGCGCCGTGTGGGGAAGAGAATTGGGAACTGTCTGCCCACGGAAGCCGTGCCCAGTGCGGCCTCCGCCGTCTCTGGGTCTCTGGGAACGTAGCTGGCATTGGGGTGCCGACTCTAAACCTTGCGTTGTTGGCTTCTGCGTGAGGTCCCGGCCAGCCCCCTCACCAGGTCCCATCTGTCCTGTGACTGTGTTGCTTCAGGCTGTGTCTTCTACTTCAGGATGGTGTTGCCGGCGCAGATCCCGGCCCCGCGGAGCCGGGCTGGAGTTCTAGCTCTGCCTCCAGGTGTTCCAGCTGGCAGCTAGTGATGGCTGAGGTGCCCAGGCCCCTGTGGATGCAAAATGTCTCTCCTTCTCTCTGCAAATCTGACTATCCAATAAAAGTCAATACATTTTTTTAAGAAAATTTATTTCATTTGAAAGGCAGAGAGAAGGAGAGGCAGAGAGATCTTCCATCCCATGATTTACTTCCCAAGTGGTCACAACAACTGGACCCGAGCTGATCTGAAGCCAGGAGCCTCTTCCGGGTCTCCCTCACAGGTACAGGGTCCCAAGGCTTTGGGCCTCAACTGCTTTCCCAGGCCACAAGCAGGGAGCTGGATGGGAAGCGGGGCCCCTGGGACCTGAACCAGTGCTCCTGTGGGATGCTGGTACTTTAAGGTAAAGGATTAGCGAATTGTGCCATCCCAGCAGCCCCAAGTTTTAAGTTCTAATTGGGGAATTTTGAGGAGGCAACCCACATAAATTACAGCTTTGAGACCCTCACTGGGTCTCAAGAGTATAGAGAAGACCTGGTGTTACAGAGCGTGGACTCGGCACTGGAGGAAGTCCCCAGGTGGACCAGAGGGAGAGGCTGGCCGAAGCGGGAGTTGCTAGCACTGAGGGAGCCCGGTGCCATGGCCCGGTGATTAAATCCTCGCCTTGCAAGCAGCAGGATCCCATAGGGGTGCAGGTTTGAGTTCCAGCTCGTCCGCTTCTCATCCACCTCCCTGCTTGTGATGTATCTTTGGAATAAAAATAAATAAATAAACCATTTTTTTAAAAAGATGTATTTTAATTTAGTTTTATTGGAAAGTAAGATTTACAGAGAGGAGGAGCTACAGAGAGGAAGATCTTCCATCCGATGGTTCACTCCCCAAGTGACCACAACGGTCGGAGCTGAGCCTACCCGAAGCCAGGAACCAGGAGCCTCTTCCGGGTCTGCCATGTGGGTGCAGGTTCCCAAGGCTTTGGGCCATCCTCGACTGCTTTCCCAGGTCACAAGCAGGGAGCTGGATGGGTAGCCAGGCCTGTTGGGATTAGAACCTGCGCCCATATGGGATCCTGGTGCATGCAAGGCTAGGGCTTTAGCCGCTAGGCTACTGTACCAGGTCCAAAATAAGTAAATATTCTTAAAAGGAAAAGAAAAGAGCTACTAGCCCTGAGGGCTGTCCATTGAGGTGAGTGAGAGAGGCCGAGTTGGACACAGTCAGGATGTGATGACCCCACTGTGGTGAAACAAAAATATCTATTTGTATGTATGCAGGAAACCATATGGTGGTATTGTAGGTGAAATTAGTCTATGTTGAAAACTGACTTTAGGTGAAAAAAAGTGGAGAGAAATTCCACTTTTCACAATAAACTTGTGCTATTTGCTACAAAAAATGTGAAGGTCCAGAAACAATTGATGGCGGCCCCTGCAAATGGTCAATTCTCGCTCCTTTTATGCAGGAACTTCTGGTCATGTCGGAGACCAGTCAGCTTCCTGGGCCTGGAGTGTCCCTGCTCCGGGTGGTGAGGTTGGTCAGAGCACTGGGTTCCCAGCTCACAGCAGCACCGCTCTCACGCAGAGAACAGACCAGCAGAGCTCACAGCTACACTCCTGTTTTCCTTTTTAAGAGTTATTGTGGTTACTTGAAAGGCAGAGTTTAGAAGAGGCAGCGTTCTTCCGTCCGCTCTGCGGCTGCCATACTGGACAGAGCTGGAGCGGACACCCGCGCACCTGCGCTCTGGCTCTGCCTTCTCGGCGTGTCGCAGGGGGCAGCCGGGCCTGGGACTGGCAGCCACTTGGGATGCCAGCGCTGTAAGCGCCACAGTGCCAACCCCACAGATACAATTCTAGGAATGTAGTATTACTTCCCTTCCTCCCTTATTCCCTCCCCCCTTATTTAAAAAAAATTTGAGATAACGTATATTTGATTCAAATTATTAGTCAAAGGCTTAATGCTCTATTAGACATAGTTTAAAAAGTAAAAAGCAAAAGCCTGTAATTTAACAGGAATATAGGAAAGGACTATAGATACTAATTAAATGAAAGCCTGTCAACTTGAGAATGTAGTCAGTCTTTCCTTACAGATTGTTCTCTCGTCCGCTGATCTTTCTAGAACTGATTGATGCCCACGTAGGTTAGGCTCTTAGATTTGAAGTCAGCAGTGTGTACTGTTGGATTGGACGTGAACCTGGCCGGCAGGATGGCCCTGGCTGTTGTGCTGGTGAGTGGAGAGGAGTGGGCAGGCTCACTTTGTGCCAGGCTCTCCCGGGGGCAGAAGGGCTGGCCATCTGCATAAGCAGCAAAGGGAAACCAAGGTGTCTTGTACCACGCATTATTTTTGTATTTCATTGGCTTGGCTTGAAAATTCACTTTCTTTTTTTAAGGTTTAATTTCTTTTTATTGGAAAGTCAGAGCAGGAGAGACAGAGAGAAAGCTCTTCCTTCCATTGGTTCACTCTCCAAGTGGCTGCAACGACCAAAGCTGAACCTGTCCAAGCCAGTATCCTCTTCCGGGTCTCCCATGTAGGTGCTGGGTCCTGAGGCTCTGGGTTGTTCGAACAGGCCACAAACAGGGAGCTGATGGGAAGTGGGGCTGCTGGGACACGAACCGGCGGCCCTAGGATCCTGGTGCATGCAAAGCGAGGACTTTAGCCACTAGGCTACTGCACCAGGCCCTGCAGGTTCACTTGTAGAGTTGGTACAGACTGAAAGCGTCCGGTGTAAATGCATATTTCTGAGTGGTTCCTTTCTATTCAGCAGGTACTTCCTGAACACAAACCTGTGCTGGGTCACAGCAGATAGCCCTGCCATCCCAGCACTCATGTCCTAGTGGGCAGATGGGGCAGGTACAAGCCCCATGCTGGAACCCAGGGTGTCTCCTGCTGCTGAGTGCCAACTAGAACACACCCAGAGAAGGGCATTGAGGATGTTGGGGGTGTGCTTTGGGGAGACTAGAGAACTTGACTGAGAAGGTAGTTTTGAGGCTGAACCCCTAGGAAGGACGTGTGACCCTAGGAGCGGACAGTTGGAGAAGAGCATTCCGGGTGGAGGCCCCAGCAGGACCAGCCAGCACGCCCAGGGGCCTCCCGGAGGGGGCAGCTGGCGGGGGGTGGGGGGAGGTGGGAGCTGCCAGGCAGAGGATAGCCGGAGGGCCTCGCTGGCTGTTTCTGGGGGTTTGGCATCTGCTGATGTTTGGAAAGGTATGGAGAACTTGTGGTGGGGGCGGGGGGCAGTGATGGACCCTGAATCGCCATTGCCAGGAACCTCTCAGACCGCTGAGTCTCAGGAGGGTGTGGGAGGGAGCGGATTCCTGTGCGTGCCCCAGCTGGCTGTGATGTGGCTGCAGGAGAGGGCCAGGTCCTGTGAGTCCGACTGGCTTGCCTCTGGGTACAGATGGGGTGTGAGAGAAGAGAAGTGCGGGCAGGGTGAAGCTGCCTTTGAAAGATTCAGTCATTCGTTTATTTATTTTTTTTTTAAAGATTTATTTTTATTATTTTTTCATTGGAAAGGCGGATATACAGAGAGGAGAGACAGAGAGGAAGATCTTCCGTCTGATGATTCACTCCCCAAGTGAGCGCAACGGGCCGATTCTATGCCGATCCGAAGCCAGGAGCCTCTTCCGGGTCTCCCACGCGGGTGCAGGGTCCCAAAGCTTTGGGCCGTCCTCGACTGCTTTCCCAGGCCACAGGCAGGGAGCTAGAAGGGAAGCGGGGCTGCCGGGATTAGAACCGGCGCCCATATGGGATCCCGGGCGTGCAAGGTGAGGACCTTTAACCACTTGCGCCACCGCGCTGGGCCCTGTCATTCGTTTATTTTAAAGGCAAGTGAGAAAATGAGATCTTCCATGCAAATGAACAGCCAGGTCTGGGCCAGGAGGAAGCCAAGAGCCGGGAGCTCCATTATGGTCCCCCTCAAGGTGGCGGGGTCCAGGTACTTGGGCCATCCATCGTCTGGTGCTTTCCCAAGTGCATTAGCAGGGAGCTGGATCTGGAGCTCAGACCTGCCCTCTGATCTGGGGTGCTGGCATTGCCGATGGCAGCTTACCCCACAGTGCCATAGCAGCTGCCCTGGAGGTGCCTTCTAACGGGATATAGAGTAGAGGAGCAGGTTGTTGGGGCGTTTTTGAGTGTGAGGATAAGGTGCTTGTCGGGTGTACATATGAAATAGGTAGTCGGGGCTGTGTACTTCAGGCTTGGTATGGGCTGGAGAGAGAACCCGGGAGTTATCAGGCTATAGTTGGCATTGACGGCTATGCGGGCGTGTGCTCGCCAAGGGACACATCAGGTCTGTGAGAGGACATTCCTGAGTCTGAAATTAAGACTTCACATTTTTATATAGAATAAATGTGAATTTCTGAATCTTTTTTAAAAAATATTTATTTTATTGAAAAGGCAGGTCAGATTTAAGGAGGAGAGCT